CGTGCGCTGGCAGACGCACGCGATACGTCGCAAATACGCCGCATGCGGCTGTCCCTTTGTTCCGCATTTCATTGTATGCCCTCTGATGCCGTTCATTACGGCTGTGCCGCACGTGCCGGCGCAGGCCATTGAGGGCGACCGCGGGCTTAAGTGCCGTCGTCTGCGACGCTGCAGAACGCCCGTGCGCGCCTGAGCGCGTCGAACCGCGCAGTGGTGGCGCTCCTAACGGTAGCGACGTCGCTGCTATAGCTGCTCTCAGGCGTTGCCGCCTTTGCGGCGCGCCGCTTTGTAGGGAGCCCTCCTTTTCTTTTTATATCCATACGCGCGTGCGCCGCGCCCTCTAGACCGAAGTGGCGGTGCTCTCCCGAGTGTGAAATGCACGCCAAGCAAGTCACGCATCTTCTCTGTTTCAGCCGCTGTGCAGTCGTTGTCGTGGTTAGTCGAGGCGGATCTCAGCTGGCGGCCTGCGGCAAGGTCCTCCCACCCGCCGTCCCATTCACGGGCCAATGAACTCCGCGTAGGTCTAGGCGACGTCGTGCGACGCTGGCGGCGAGGAGCACGTCCCGGAGGAAACTTAAGCCGCGCGTAAGGCTGAACGGTCGGGACGACGCAGTTGCCGTAATCCTTCGAGAAGCCCCTAATGTGCGAGGTCGTCTACGGGCTTTGCGTGCGTTAAGCGAATGGCGTTATGGAATCGTAGCGTTCATCGGTGTAGCAGGTGTTAAGATTTCATGCCGCATTGAAGTCTGTAGGTTTTGTTCGTTGTTAAGCGCAGGTTTGCGTGCAGGTGAGATTTCATTTGCGGAGGCGGGAGTTTATCAATGAATAAGCAGCGGTGGCCCTGTCTCTGTTCGCTGCTTCACACATAGACGTGAACTTCACTTCTAAAAGTTTGCTACAGTGCTCACGAAGAGAGAGAGATAGATGCAAGGAAAGGCAGGGAGGTTACCCAGACGCGCTTCCAGTTTGCTACCCTGCAATATGGTCGAAGAGATTAAGGTAGGAAATTGCTCACAAAATTTTTGTGTAAATCCTTCAGGTTGTCATGCAGTGTTTTATATATGCAGTAACTCACGAATAAACGGAAACAGGTTTGTTGATGAGGCTTTCGTTTTCTATTATTAGAAATTGCTCTGAACCTTGAAGTCCGCGGAGGATCACAGTTCCAAACGGACATCGGTAAACTGGCGCCGACCAGAGAATCACAGAGGCTCTCAGGATCAATATGTATATCGAACCGTTCGGCACCATAACTCCAAGATTTATTTAGGTATGTTAATTGCTAATTATAGCTAGCTGTAGAAAGTCACGCGAGCGCATTGTGTAGGATATGATCGACGTGTGAAGCTCGTACGAAAAACCAAGGTAACATACAGGACCCACAGGAGCCATGCACTTTTCATAGTTTGTATGCATTAAACTCCTATATCTCGTTTTTTTTTTTCAATGAGAACTGCTGTTAGTTCGTTATTCGAATACTTATAGCCACACTAAAAAGTGGGAGAAAATGTGATAAATGCTTGCGGTCAACACGTAAACCCGAATCCACGCTTCTGTGCGCCTTCCAAAAGGCAATGCGAGGCACGCTGAAATATATATTAGCTGTATACGAGTGGGAGCGAAAAGGAATGAACAAGAAATAAAAAAAACAGACCCGAGGGTACCTGCTCTGGCTGAACCTTCTGCTGCCCACGAGATTAAGTACAGGCTAGCTCTCTAATCTTGTTAACACAGGCACACGTGCACGAAGGTGCGATGGATTCGTTCGGCGGTGCCTCCGCTTAAGATCCCAGGCGTTTCCTCTTAGGACGGCGACAGAGAACTAGGTCAGACACAGATTAGGGAGGCAGGTATTAGAGTTTAACCGTAAGCGCCTCGACCGTCGCGCGAGTTCGTATCTTCCTCGTGTGCAAGATCATCCTCGAGTGCAAACACAACCCTAAGCATTCACACATACAGTGCTTTCGTAACACTAGCGTGACCTTCGAGACTAAAATGCGCGCCGTTATCCATGCGATAACCTTATCTGTGCGCAGGGTTGTAACTCTAACCAGTCTGTATCTCTCGCTGCAATAACCACAGATATCCCTCGTGCGCAAAATATGAGGGATAAACATAACCCTAAACCTTTTAACCTACACAGCTATTCGTTACACTTGCGTGACCTTCGAGACTAAAATACTCACCGTTATCGTGCGATAACACTATCAATACGGACAGCTCTCTATCAGTGCTCTAATCAGCGTGTATCTCTCGCTGCGATAACCACAGTATAAGGGAAGTTTCTGACATTAACGCAGCACATGCGGTAATCGGTTTATCAGATATGAATGCATGCTTTGGATTACGACAAGTGAGTGCTTGACAGAGCTACAGATGCTGCGTCGTTCCGACGATTCCAGTTGTGTCTTACTTCTATGTGTCCTCTTCGCGGCAATGGGCGTGTACTTGGCGTTTTCAAGACGGAAAGCCCATTTGATCTTAGTTTACGTTCGCGAAACATCTCGGAGCTTCAGGCCGAGTACATGTGAACATTATCAAGCAAAGGAATAGCGGCTGTGTGAACTATGGATATTTCAGATCCGTTGTTAACATGACTTTTCGTGTTCTACATCAGCACACGCGCACGCACACAAAAGAAGAGTCATATATAACGGTTACTCGCATTGGCTGGCCACATTGCACATATATATACAAATTCACGGCCGGCCCACTGCACCGCCAGACTCCGTGACATCAATATAATCACGCAGTTTTGACGGCGAATAATGAAACGCAACTGATTCTAAATCAAACTCTGTTGGGCGCACATGTGCCCACTGAAAGGAAAACTCTAGGTGCAAGCAACACCCACTATTAAATGACAACTGCGCACGTGGTGGTCATTGGTCATCGGTAATCTGATAGGCAGGACGCTTCATATTTCATACATGTGTGTTCAAACCTGCCAGCACTATCGCTGGTGCTCGCGGAAGCTCTAGAATGATCTCGGTTACTCGTGCCTCGCGGATAATCTTGACAGAACACTGTGATGCTGTTGCAAAGTTTCCGAACTTTGATGCGCTGCCAGCGACGACTGAAGGTAACTATTTCTTTTCGTGTTTTTTTTTATTTTGCTGGTGAAAAAAGATTGCATTATTATAAAATTATTAAGCGCGTGTGACAATATGCGACTTGGCGCACCTTAACCTTCATCCCTCTTTCCCCTGCTTATGTTGTAAATATATCGGGAAAATATGCACATGCCGGCTTGCGGCGTGATGTGATTGTGAGGGACGCCATTGTGAAGGGCTCCAGAAACTTGGACCATCTGGTGTATTAATGCGCATCAACACCACACAGTACGCGGGCCACTACCATTTCGCCGCCACCAAAATGCAACCGTCACGGCCGGTATCGAACCGACAACCTTCGGGAGCGCAGCCGAGCAGCGTTATCGCTGATCCACCACGGCGGACATTCCGGCATGCGTGAACTGCTGACAAATGCAGACTCGTACGTTTGTTGTGATAAAAAAAAAAGACCAAAGAAAGGTCGCTGCGCCGCACGCTCCGAGAAATGGCGCTGACAGCTCGACCCCGCCCTTGAAGCGTGCCGGTTTCTTTTGTCGATGCTATCTCGCCCGTCCTTGCCTCGCGCATCAAAAGCCTCCCGAGAACAACTATAAAGCTCGTGACCCTGCTCCGCGTAGGGGCCACTGGCAAACTACAATGCGAATAAGACAAAGGGAAACGTCTTCGCGAAGAAGCCGTTAGGAAACGCCTCTGTATGGCTTTGGTTTGAAAGGCTTGTTCCGTCAGTGACAGCCATAGCAGGATCGCCTCACAGCGACTCATCTAAAGATCGTCGTTACAACTTCACGCACGACGACGAAAGGACGGTCTTTTTCCAACTCACATCTTCACTCTGTCCTACAGTATACTCGGCATCTAGCACATTTAAAATGACTGCCACCCGAGCGCGTTGGTATATCATCGTGACGTTGTACTACGAAAAAGAACGGGGTCTTTTGAAGAACACAGAACAAGGCGCCACTAGCAACGCAAATAAGACTTCCAATAAAACGTTCAATTGCTAGTAGCGTCTTGTCCCGTTTTATTCCAACGTCCCAGTTCTTTTTAGCACTTCCACGTCATGTGGAAGATAATAATAAGTTATTATGTGGCTTTTTCTTACAAAGTTAGGAAATTATTGCGATACTTGTCGCAGCGGGGGTTCCCTAGTTTATTTTACCAACCTGATGTTATTCCAGCAGCGCCTAAATTGAAGTACGCGAATGATTTTTGTGTTGTACCTGCGTCAAAATGAGACCACCGTGTCCGGGACTGAAACTCGGGTACTCGCGGTCACTATATCCATGGCTGCTAAGCTGTGAGGTCTGGTTCCTTTCTCTCAATGTCTCGTCGATACGCTTTCAGCAATGTCGTCCTTCTAACTTTCCGGTTGAAGACAAAAGGACGGTCTCAGTCAACCGCGCTCGGTGCCATAGCACTCTAAAATCTAACACACGGAGGACAAGGCGGTGACCTGAAATGTACTGACGCAAAATTTTTGCACGGGCTAACTGGCATTCCATTTGCCAAATGCGGCTGCAACGCATGTGAACACTTCAGATTGACTAAGACGAGGGTTGTCGGTTGTTCGGTGGTTGCTCTCGCTGACTTTATGTTTTGGAAGGGGGTGGATCTTATTATATATACTGTCTTTGTCATACATCCGGGGTCTTCATAGTGAAATTTCAAACTGGAAGTCACAGCTCGTTTCGTCGGTCCATCGTACCATGTCTTCGCATGCGTTGCAGCCACATACGAAAAGGGAAACTGGAAATTACGAGAGATCCATCAGGGCGTGTATATAGCGCGTCCCACAACGCAGGCAAGCAAACGCAAACGCGCACGGAAGACGAATTCATTTGCGTACAAGGCACCGAGCCTGGATAACGTCGGCGATAGGCCCCGCGGCTGTCTACACACCGTCGACGTCGCATCCCGGGCACTCACCGAGGACGAGGAGTAGCGCGAACGTGGCGACGGCGTTCCGCATGGTGGCCGCTACAGGAGCCGAGCACCGGTGCTGCTTGCCGGACGACAGTGCACAGCGTGTCTGCCGACGCCGTTCGTTGGCGTCGTCGTCGGCGGGCCGGTGCGCCCCACTAACCCACTTGCGCCGGGCGGCTCTTCTTCCTCGTGGACTCGGTCGTCGGCCCGTGCGTCGCTGACGCTCGCAAGAGCAAAGGTCGAGGGTCCGAGTCTGGCACTCTGGTCGCGGCGGACGTCTAACGGTTTCTCGACGGTCCGAGGGTCCCGGTGGCCCTTTTAAGAGGACCGTGTCCTCCTCCCCGTCTACGGTGGTTCTCTTATTTTCGAGGGGAGGTGTACTTGTGTACGCTGTGTGTATATACACTCGATGGCATCCCTCGCGCCGCTGCGGCAGCAAGTCTGGGTCAACCCGCTTTCTCCAGGGTGAGGGGAGGCCAATGGACTCTTCGTCTTCTTCCCCTCTTCCCTGCAATTTTTGACGTTGTCGTGCGCCTTGACGGTTTTCGCTCGGACCGAGAGCTGCGCTCGGGCACCTCGCGGAAGCGTTTCGGCAAATTTTCGCGCTGGGCGCTCTTTCGGTGAAGCCGCGTGTGCGCGTTGTTTGTGCATGCGAGCGCAGCGTCATTCGCGTCCCGCGTCCGTACTGTGTTTCGTGTCTGCCAGTGAACAACCCGGAGGAGAAGGCGACGCCACCGTATACGCCAGCAACAAAGGGGAAAAGGAGTACGAGGAGAAGACGCTGGATCGTAGCGAAGCGCGACAAGAAGAGGACGCGCTCCCCGTTTGTCGTCGACGGTGGCACGCTTCTGCTTCTCCGTCGTGCCCCTGGTGGAACACACAGCGTGTCAGAATAAGAATACACGAAAGAAAAACGCTACGCACAATCACTCACGTTGTGTATGCACGCGCGTGCCGGGCGAGGCGCGTGCGTGCGTGTATAATAGCGTGCAAAAAATTTGCGGCTTGACGTGCGTTTCGGAGAGCATCATCCGCTGAATTGAAGGCAAGAGGAGGAGGAGGGGGTGTAATCGACGTTGTGCGCAATGACCGCGGCTTCTCGGTTACGAGACGACGACAAAAGGTTCTCTTTTCTTGGTCCCTCTTTCGTACCCAGTTACTCTTCTGATCCTTTTGCTCGCAAAACGAATACGTATCGTATGCATAGGTCTCTGCTACGCGATATTGAATGAGGACCGTCTCGAATCGGCTGCGCGGACCATCAGACCTACATGCTGTCCCGATGATTGCGCTCGTGGTGCACTTTTGTGGATATACGTGATGGTTACGGCGACACAGGCACGTGTATAGTACGCGAGATACTTGAACGGATAGCAAGAAAAAAAAAGGGGGGGGGGGGGAGGACGATGCGCGCATTGAGGGCCTCGCCTATATCGATGACAGACCGGCTTGATGCGCGTGTGTCTCTTTCTTTCTTTCGTGTTGTCCTTGGATGCGCTCTTGTGCGTTGGTTTTGTACTTTCGATTGCGCTCGCAAGAACGGAATGATTCCGCAATGATCACCATGGCAACGGCGGTGGCAAGGAGGAAAACGGCGTGGGGGCGTGGAGCGCGAACGCATTAGATGTCTGCCCCTGAAGTAGTGCCGAATACGAAGCGTTAACGTAGACTATAAATGCGAGAGGTTTCAACCAGGCGAAATCGCAAGCGAATATCAGCATTTGCTTTATTTGTTTTGCTTTTTCTACTAATAACGTAACTTTGGGCACGTTCTTATTCTGTTTCAACATCTAGCGCGCAAGACGGGGACAAAGTGGAAAACGACGAAGACAGGCGCTATTTTCTAGCTACTTTCTTTGTGTCGTTACGAAGTAAGTGCTGTTTACCGAGGTATCTATTTCACATTTAGCATGCTGCACCGAAGTGAATAAAACGATGAAAGGACCAATACCGTTGCTTGGCAACTTGTGAAGTTAGGATTATGCGAAAGAAGATCTTCAGAACCTATATATGAACACTATAGCACTTCAGTTGTGATTTTTTTTTTCTCTTTTATTTGTGGCGTAAGCTACAACGACCGAGGTTGAGCCGTTTCACGTGGGTTATCAAGAACCGTACTGCGCATGCCCGAGTAGTAATGACGTAACACGGCGAACAGTTGTGGCGCGCCGGAGAAGGCCTGGAAGCTCCTGGAGTGACGTGTCACTGGGGAACTGGTGCTTGACTCGCGTGAGATCAGTTGCTAGTCCACCCGTACGTGCCGTCTATCATCTCTCTGTACGTCCTTCCATCCTCTCGTAGCTCACGCTACGTATATCATATATATATATATATAATATATATATATATATATATATATATATATATATATATATATATGTGTGTGTGTGTGTGTGTGTGTGTGTGTGTGTGTGGGTGTGTGTGTGTGTGTGTGTGTGTGTTTCCGCCCCCTATATGTGAAAATAGCTAAAAGGCAAAAGGGGGGTAGCCCGTACCACCAGGAGGTATAATGGGCTCAAGCCAATCTAACATAAATGAAGAGGGGAAACTTCCCAAATTTTTATTTTTTTGAAAAAGCCAATTACTTAAAAAATAACATGGGTAAAGCCTAGTGAGTGCGGCATGAAACTGCAATAAATAAACTAGTTAGCTTCTCAGGAATGAGCAGGTCGATATGCAGCAGCAGTGTATTTCCCCCACTTGAGTTTTTGGAGTTCGCGTGTGTGTGTGTGTGTGTGTGGTGTGTGTGTGTGTGTGTGTGTGTGTGTGTGTGTGGTGTGTGTGTGTGTGTGTGTGTGTGTGGTGTGTGTGTGTGCTGTGGTGCGTGTGTGTGTGTGTGCGTGTGTGTGTGTGTGTGTGTTTTATTTTAAATGCATTGTCGTTGGATGCAGAAAGTCCAAAAACAAACAACGAAGTGGGATGCGGCCAGTGGTCTTGAGGATGGGTAAACGTTGACGAGGATGGTAGCAGTGGCCTC